CACACACACACACAGATAACATACATCTGCACCATATTGTGGTGTATGCCATGCACATGTGCTGCAGTGCATTGTTGTTGTTAGTGTTGGACTTGTTGTAATTTTTTTTAAATAACAATAATTTAACTGTGTGGCAGCACATGGCAAAGCATTGTGACGCATTGCTGGGTGTTGTGATTAAATGTTTGCCTTTATCATTTTATCACAAGACACACACACCAACACAGTGCACAAACAAATTTTAACATAAGTCGCTTATTTAAAGTTTTGTGTTACTTCATATTTCTACCGTTTTGCAAAAAGGTGCAATTTTAAATTTACAAATATTTTTTATTTATTAGCTCAATACAGTTTTATTTTTTAGATTCTCAGAAAAGTATTTTTTGTGCACCGATATGGATTTTTAGTGTGCTTTTAACAACTGAATTGTGTATTTTTATCGGTTTAATATTGATTTGACAAACATTTGCACAATTATCGCAGGACCTACAGAATTAGTAGCACCATCTTTCTATTCTACCGGGCCTGTGCTTTCAGAAAATATATGGTTTGTTGAGTCTTTTACAAATGCTAGCAATGCAGCAACAGACAAATTGCAAAACAATGGTGGGGCCAGCTAAGGTTAAAAGCGTTCTGGAGGGCTTGGCAGTGGAAGGGTTAAAGCAGAACTCCGAGCAAAAGAGTACCTAACTCCTGCGCTGGGGCTACCCCCCCCCCCCCTTCCCCACTGCACCGGTCAAGTTCTTGTCTAGGTGCTGAAAAAAAAGTTATACTTACCTGATCCTCGGAGTTGACTTGGTCTTAGACCGGGTGCGTGGAGCCTCTCTCCTCCTCCACTGCAGTGGTCTATGGATCCTTGAGACATTAAGTTCTTCACATACGGGTCTATTCACTAAGCTGCCGTAGGCAGCCGAGTGAATGACCGACCTGAAGTTTCTATTCTGACACAGCTCCATGTCGAAATAAAAAAAAGAAAAGAAACAGCAGTTTTTCTCTCCTTGGTGGCCGGGAGCAGGAGACTCCCGGAGCGCCAGGGAGAGTTTGCTGTTTGGAGATCAGTGTCCCTGGTTAGCAGGTAACCAGAGACGCTGATCTCTCTGCAAGTGGCCGGAGCCAGCCGTAAGCTCACTGGCACCGCCCTGCTGTCAGAAGCAGGCATATGCGCTCGACTCGACTGAGCCGCTCGGCCACGTTCGGGAGCTGTACGGGCTATAGTGAATAGCCCGTACAGCACCCCTTCGGTTCTACTGAACCGAAGGGGTCCTGGGGCCGAAGCTAGCCAAAGGATCGGCCGAAGCTACGGCTAGATCCTTCGGCAGCTTAGTGAATAGACCCCATAGTGTATAAATGTGAGGATGCTGAGAAACATTCTAATGCTGCAGCGAAAGAAGAGACAGCAGAGACCAGAGTAGCAGCCAGCCGGCTACACAGATTGGACTAATATAACTTTTTTTTAGCACCTAGACAAAAACGAGCACTTACCCTTGCAGTAGTTCTGCTTTACGCCTAAAGGGTATGTGAATATATAATTAAAACATTTGGTATGCCTGTTGATACTGCCAGAAATCCAATGAACTTGTAACTTCTTGTGCACTCTGCCTCTGCTACACTGAAATTTCAAGCAGTGTTCACAGCTCTGCCCAGTTCACTTCCCCATATGTTATGGGCATAAGAAGAGAGGAATGTTTTCTGTTGTGTAAGTCAGGAATGGGCAACCTAGGGTGAAAACTCTGTTCCTAGTGAGTGAGCATGTTACCCTAGGACAATAAATGTGTTACTTGCAGGATAAGCAAGGTAAAATAAAGGACAGAAGCCTGAAAAAAAGAACACTGTAGCTATGACATTTAAGGACTGATAAGCTGCAATATATTACATTTGTGTTCTTTAGTGTACACTTTACCTCCCTAACCTCTAACCCCAAACCTGACTATACCTTAACATTGAACCTACTTTGTGAGGCTAGCTTAACCCTTATCAATAGGAGTATCAGGTCCATATGTGGCAAAAAGTGTCAGTGCCTAATCTGAACAGTCATGAAATCACATTTGAGTTAATAAAAACAAATTTACCAGACCTTTCACCAGATAGCTGCTTGTGACCATTGTGGTAAATGTATCAACTATGAACTACTCAAAAATGTAAAAATCTGGTGCTGCTGTTTGTATTTAAAATGAGCATTTATAGAAAGTCCAATAAATATTAGTATTTTTGTTTTACATGGCACGAAGCATGTCAGCTATAATACAGTCAATTCATAGAGCATTATCATTATTTGATCATTTGAGTAGTAGGCCTTTTTTCCATGAGGAAAGTATACTGTGCCAAACTAAGGCTTTTGGGCTGATTTACTAATGGAGTTGATAAACTTCACACAATGAATTGTGTGAATATTCATTGCAATCATCTATTCTTTAGAAAAGAAAATTGCTGCTCAGTTTGAATACCCAATCATGTGCAGATCAAATAATTAAACAAAATTTGCTTTTCAAATGATTTGGTAAAAGAAAGTGAATAGTCACACATTTTATTGAGCAAAAATTCTCAACTCATTTAGTACATCAGCCTCGCTAACTTTAGATTTGGTTTACTATCATGGTAAACTGACTATTTACCCTGGTAATTATGTGAAGCTTTGTTTTCATTTCTATCTGTTCACCTGTTGGGAACAGTTTCCTTTCCTTCCTATTCTGGTAACTATTTTCAATAGGAAGGTGAGGTGAGTGGAAATCTCCCAAACAGGAACAGAAATAATTATGCGCTTAAGACAGTTTTTGTAAAGGAAATGTTTTTAATCATTGACCCTCAACAAGTATGCATATCAGAAGTTCCATCTCCTCTCTGACTTTACTTTGCTGCATGCTTGTTACAGTTCAATGACTCAAAGAGGTCTATTCCGAAAGCTAGCCGAAGGATCAGCCGTAGCTTCGGCTGATTCTTCGGCTAGCTTTGGCCGCCAGAGCTCTTTGGTTCTGTTGAACCGAAGGGCTGCTGTTTGGGCTATTCACTATAGCCCGTACAGCTCCCGAAGGCGCCGGGCAGCTCGGCCTTCGGCTGGCCAAACACCTGCCAAATGACAGCTGGACTGAGCCAGCCATGATCTCACGGCTGGCTCTGCCCACTTGCAATGACAGATCAGCTGAAATGTCATTAAACAATAACAACTGGGCGGAGCCGGCCGTGATGTCACAGCCGGCTCCGCCCAGTTGATATTCATTGGCTGGGACCTGCTAGAAGACTCTAGCAGGTCCCGGCCAATATGAAACAGTTGGGCGGAGCTAGCTGTCACAGCAATACCGAGCAGAATAGCCGAGCCGAATGCCGCCGATGCAGAGCATGTTTGGCTGACCGGCGTGCGGCCGAAGCCAGCCGAGGTACGGCTAATTTCAGCCGATGTACAGGTGAAATCAGCCATACAAGCCTGAAGTGAATAGCCGAACAGCGATCGGCTCACTTCACTTCGGGTGGGTTATTCAATCGGTTGCCTTTGTGAACAACCCTTAAAGTATTAAAGCCAGAGACAGGCAGCTAGCATTTTTAGAAAGAGGTCAGTTTTCCCTTTAACCCTTCTCCACATTACTATTAAAACAAGTGTTTTTATCTTTATGGTGTCCCTCTTAGGGAGGTTACCTATCAATTCCAGTGACCACTGACATTAAATAGTGGGATATCATCCCTTGCAGAGTTTCTAGTGCAACCACCTTTGGTTGAAGTTCCACTTTAAAACTAGTGATATGTTACGGAATTAGCTAGATGTTCAGAAATGTAATTTGTATGTGATAGTAATTCTTTTTTTTAAATGTTTCACCAGGCCAATAGACTTTGCACAGCCTGTATCTTTTGAGAATGCAGATATTGGGCGGTGCCCTACACTGGTGCCAGACAGTATACTTGAAGAAGATAAAGAGAAAAATGTCACTCAACCATTAATCCTCCCTCAGCCTGAAGCAACCACCTTATCAAAAGTCACACCAGCTCTAATACCTTCTATTCCACCTACTGTAAGTGTTTAATGAATCACACTATTTATTATTTTTATATTAAACTGTTAGAAAGGAGTTAATTTATGCTCAAAAACCTACTGATTGCTTTCACTGTATAATACAACATGATGGTATTTGTACAATATTGGTGAATCAGTGCTGTGAGTGAATGAGTGAAACAAACCATTTGAGGTGAGTCATTGAAGGGCGAGCATGTATGCATATATACAGTACATACAGATATCTGCTCTGAACATATATGACATCCATTCGAGGCTGGAAACTTGCTTACATTGTCAAATGTTATTTTTATCCAAAAAGAGAAGCACTGGAAATAACCTTTAATCTATTCCTGCTGAACATGCAATTGATTTCACTCCATGAATATAAGGTAGTTTGATTAATAAACAATTATACAATTATTTCATAGAATTGATTCAAATGCCCCACTGCTAGGTGAAAGCTACTAGCAGCTTCATTAAACTTGTGTTAAAAATTATCTTCACAGTAGAAGAAGAAGAAGATAATTTTAGGTGCAACAGAAATTTTAATAAGCTGCCAATGAGAAAAAATGTTGGCAGTGCTCTGTGTATGAAGTTTCTGTTTGCATTTTGCATGAATTAGTAGTTTAATGGTTGGCATGTGGATGCATTATTGTCTAGCAAATATGTCCTACATGTCTTTACAAGGAATATAAAGTCCAATATACCTATATTATCTTCAAAACCCATTAAGGATAAGTGTACATTTCCACTTTCTCAAACATTCAAAAGTGCATTATTTGCAACTTTTGCATGAATGCTAATACATTAGAACAACACACTTTTCATAAATAGAACTTAGTTTAGGTGGACATTAGCAAAGCAGTGAAGTAGCAGGGGCAGGGTAGTGGGAGCAGTGTACCCGGGGTGCATGCAATTAGGGAGTGTGTAGGCCATTTGGACAGATTGATCAACCACCCATAGTGGCTACATAGTGCTCGCACCAACTACAGCAATGATCTTTTCAGCTGTCTGTAAGGGGACATTTTTTCCACATACCACTAATATAGGGGGTACTGCACTTATCAGCAAAGTAAGTGGACATGTGTTTACTGACCAGCAATGTAAGGGAAAATTCTTCCCACTGGGGCAAAAAAGGGGCATTTTCACACTTACGTTCAATGTAATTGTTCATTCTTTACACTACCCACCAATGCATGGAGTCCCATTCCCCACTGACCAAAATTTGCCAGCTATCCCAGCTCATACTAAGCACCAGTGTATGAGGCATTCCTCCCAATGACCACCAATTTTATGAGACATTCTTCCTTTTGACCATTAATGAAAGTAATGTTCTTTCTCCTACTGGCCAACATTGTAATGGTGCTTTCTTCCTCCCAGTGAACACCAATGTAAGGCAGCACTATTCAAATGACCACCAAGGGGACACTTCTGTACTAACCAAGAAATGTAAAGGGGCCCCTTTTTCCAATGACCACCAATGTTAGGGAGCATTTTTTCACTGACCACCAATTTAGGAGGACATTATATTGCCTGCCAATATAAGGAGCATTTCTCCACTGACTGCCAACTTAAGGGAGTATTGCATTCACCACTAATGTAAATAGATACTATACTAACCACCTGCTTAATGGGATATTTATCCACTGTCCAACAATGTAAGGGGGCAATACAGTGATCACTGTGTGGGTACAGTACAATTTTCAATGTTAGGGTTTTCTGGTCGATATTAATTTCATTTTATGATTATTACTGAAATAATTTTTTTGTGTAATGGAGGGTATATTAAAAAGATGTGCCCAAGGGGCCAAAAGGTTTAGTATAGTCCCAGGCCTTAAATTAGCAAAATGAGGCCACTAGGATGAGAGATATTCATTTATCACACCCCCTTACAGCTAAATCTGTTCTTTAAATTAAGCAAAAACTTTACTTTGGCATAACTATTTATGTCCTTTAATACATGTATATTTTATGCAAATTAAGAATAAAAGCTGTTATTATGGCTTGCAGAATATAATTCTTATTATAATCTGGGTTTTGAAGATTGGTGTAGCATAACCCAAACTGCTGTAATGAATGAGGTACATCTTGTTGACTGCAAAGGTATATAGATGTGATCCCTAAAAGGTGGCCTCCTTTTAATGGTATATTCCTAATTAAACCAAAATAATTATTTTTGGATTTCCTATTGATGATTATAAAGCAGAAAGACAGGATATCAGAGGGAGAGTGTTCCAATAGATAGACGTCTGAATCAGCCTCGCTTCCCCTCCACTTTATGGCGTTATACTGTATAACACCAAATAGTTTAATGTGACAACACAACTGCATTCTCATCAATATGACAGATGGCTCAGTCACTCAATCTCCAGTAGTGCTGGAAATTATCTTCATGTGTAAGTATTTATTTTTTTCTCAATATATAGTCCTCTACAATATGGCTGACAGTTCCATCCATATTTGACTGCTGGTTGTAATATTTCTTGCACAGACATGCCTTGGCAATATGGCAGAGCGCTCTGTCCTTATATTCCAGCCAGCGATGCAGATATGCACATTGCGATTATGTTCTGCACATTAGTCGTTGACCACACTTTTATAGTGAGCATGAGCATTCAAAGGTTCTGTTTTGCTGCTATACAGTATTGTAGTAGACATATGAGGAATGACATATCACAGAGGAGTTTTCAAATGACTCCAAACAGCCAGTTTTCACCCTGCAGTCACCATATATACAAATGGAATACTCTGCCTGAAATTGGAGGACATTACAGATGACTACAAATATATGGAGGAACATGGACAGCATTACCATCCACTATCATGTATACTGTATATGGAACCCTCCTAATGGCTGCAAAGTATATAGAGGTACACGTACAATGCATGTCCACACACACCATTGGCATTATACCATTACTACATGTTATAGAGGATTTTGCATTGGGCAGAGCAGCTTTAGAAATAGGCAAATATAGGAATCAGTATTTCCATGAAAAAGAGGGCAAACCATTAATTTCAAACATTTTTTTAAATAACACCAGACAAACAGAAGGCATAACAAAATATTGTCCATTTCCATTAATAATGTACTATTCTCACTTCTCCAAAGTTATTTTACTTATTCACAGATCTGCCACTTTTTACTGATCACTACATGTACCTACACTGTGTAGTATGCATGAAGCTACCCACAATTAAATGCAACAAGTGCTTCAAAGAAATTAGACCTAGTAGAAAACACCCTCGGTGTTGAAATAATTAAATGCATTTTCAAGTGTTCTTTTTCTTTACTTTCATTTTCCCTCACTTTTGAAACACATGCTGGAATCCTTCTGTCATCTCTATTAGATATGACAGGCAGACACAGTTTTGCAAGTGCTTCATTTATTTAAAAAGTGAAATAATTTGGCAGCTCAATATTATTACTGTGTAGAGTGGCACTACTTAATTATATTATGGAAAATACAATAAAAATAAAGAGTATTGACAAAGAACACTGTTGTGTTATGTTTTTATAATGGCTAGACCTGTTATGGATTTGGCTCACAATGTATGCAATTCTAACAATTGCTTATTTGCTGCACCATAGGAGCCTGAAACCACTGAAGTGAAGAGTGCCAATATCACAGATGAGCTTGATTCCTCAACGGTATCCATTACCTCTTACCTGCTTAACGTGATTCTCTATTATTTTTCTGTGGTTTTTTTTCACTTCTACAAAACTAATCATTTCTCTTTCCTTCATTGTTTTATTCCTATGTAGTGAACATAATACAGCATGTGACAGGACTACCTCATTTTATAATCATTCTCTTCCAGGGTTTTCTTTAGCAAAGGAAATTAAATTGTATCCTAGCGTTCCTGTTGATTTACTTTCCAGTGTGCATACACCATGCTTAGATGAATAAGATTTTGAGAAATCATTTCAAAACACAAATATATATATATAATGAATAGATCTATTGGTCAAAGTTTTAACAATGCATTGCTTGTCTTTCTCAAGACTTGAGAAAGACAAACAGTGCTGTGTTGAATCATCAACCAATAAATCTATTTATGTTGCTTCAGTACAAGACCCACAAGTGCCTCTTTCACTGGACTGTGTATATACTTAGGTCAGACATCAGCCCTGATGCATTGTGCCTATTGTTCATACTGGTCCATATATTTTCCTATTCTTCCCTGCTTCATAATCCTCCAATTTTCAGTGTATTCATTGAAACCAGGGCTCCTTTGTTGTAATCCAGTTTGACATGATGACAATGAGATCAGGTGACAGTTCAGGCCATTGTGGGTTGCAAGCACAGATAGGCAGCATTGATGGCATCCATACTCTCATCTTAAAGATTAACCAGGTTTAAAAGGTTCATTGTGATGCTTGCTGTAGGCAGGTGCTTATCATATGGCAAGTACCTATTGCAGCTGCATAGACTGCTATAGCTGTATTTGGGTCGATTCACACCAGCAAGCCACTGGTGTGGCATTTAGCAGTGCAGATGCACCAATGCTGGCACATATCTCCGTTTACTTTTTTCTAAGAACTTTATTGCAACGTTGAAATACAAAATACAGAGAGTGCCTCCATCGTGTAAAACTGTTTAATAAAACAAAATAAAAACAGCTGGAATTGTACTCACAAAAGGAGAATTTTAGCAGGCATAAAAAAATTGTGTGTGACAGACTTAGCCAGCCGGCTATCAGTCCTTCCTGGTTGACGCGTTCTGAGGCCACGCCTCCATCAGAACCAATGAACAAAAACCCACTAATTTTCAGGCATTCTTCAGGTGCTTCCAAATGCCCCATTCTGCTTCAAAGGTAGCTCATGTACCTTTTTGAGCTTCAGGCATCGAGCTACAGGCATCTGAGCACTCATATGTGAACAAGCACAATTTAAAAGCATGGGATTTTGGTTGTTGAGCATTCTGGAGCTTTAAGCTAAAAAAAATTCCGATTTGAATGAGAGCTAAAGGGGTTTAAGGTGTTTAAAAGTTCACCATTCATGCAGAGGTGTTTGTGGGCTGGCTCTGTGTGCACATCAACCTCTCCTTTTGCAAAGATTATGCAACAAATGTATAACCATAGGTCATATGAATGGCTGCTGGAGAGCATGCATTTGGGTTATTACAACACCATGTGAGCTACTCCTACTTGTGGCCATGACATAAAGGGAAGCTTTTGTCTTAAAACATGACACACTTCTCTTTCAACAATGACTTAGCAAGCATTGCTATTATTGCAGGGATTTCTTTATTTTACTGACATTATAATTAACAGCATCAGTATAGCATTTGTTTCAACATACTGTACATAGCTAAAAGAAGAACTATGGGGTAAGTGTTTTTCCCCATAGTTCTCCTAAGGGTCACGGGAGGACACAAACTAGCTTCCTCCCTTCACCCAAAGCTCAGTATACCACCAGCTACAGCTCACGGTATACTGAGACCGCGGCAGCCGAGACGGATCCCGACATTACTGTCGAGATCCACCCAGCTGCATGAGTGACAGCTGGCTCTGCCTATCTAGAGTCAGAGCCAGCTGTACCTGCCCCCTCCCCCGTCCGTTCCACCAGTCAGCGCTAGAGGATCGGAGCGGGGGAGGGGGGCATGCCTGCAGGGAGCCGTGAGTGACAGTCACGGCTATTTGCAGGGACAGCCTCGAGAAGTGAGTGAGCGACGGTATGTGTTTGCTCACTTGCGGATCTATTGAGCCGACGTGTGACAGTATCATTGTCACACGTCGGCTCGAACTATGAGGCTGAGTGATTTTCACTCACCACATAGGTCTCCTTTAAAGTTTAGTACAGTAAGTTTGTTACCGTAATCACAGCAACAAACCCAGTACTCTAAGCTTGTACCTAAATTATTTACTTCTTTACTAGCTTTACACTAAAAACACAACAGTACTGTTGTCTTGTTTTACAATGTAAAGAAAGAGCAGGGAATTGAAATATCAAGATCGGTCCCATAAATGTATTAACTCTATTTCTTACAAAATATGAAACAAAAAGTTACATACATGTGCCTCTTTTGTTACATAGTTAGCCAGGTTGAAAAAAAGCCCATTGAGTTCAACCTACAGAGATAAGAGAAAAAAAAAAGTGCTGGTCAGTGAGTTAGGTTTTTCTTCTAACCACAAGTCTGTGCACACATCCTTCCCTTTCCATTCAGTTGTTAACATAGTTTTTTGCTCCCTCCATCACCATCATAGAGTGATTCCACTACTTCCTGTCATTGTGATACACTATCACAGCAAAAACAGACAGTAATAAAAAAAATAAATTGTAATTCTAACCCTTTCCCCTGGTATAAACCTAAAAAGGAAATTTAAAAAAAGTTTTGTCTGAATTTGGGCTTTAAAGAGACCCGGTTACCAACTTTTGCAGTTACCAATTGCAGGTAAAAGCAAGTATTTTTATTGCTTACTTGCAGTGTTTTTTCCTTAAATGTGTTTTTATTCAATTGAAATGTGTCTTTGAACTTGCTAGAAAATTTGACTACTCTATGAGAGTCCGTTACCTAGAACAGGCCCCTTCCTACTAGCAAGTCATAGCTCTCTTCTCTTCACCTCTAATTGTCTGTGCTGTCCTTGCTCCTCTCTCCCTACCCTCACCTCCCTGCATAACCTTTTGTATGTAGCAGCTGGGGAGGAGCTGCTCACATCAGATCCAAGATGGTGGCACCTAGCAGTAGTCTCGGGACTTTTGGGTGTACATAGGGGAGACTTTTATAGGTAAATTACATGACTAAAATATGTTAAATGAATCAGAAGAGTTTTGTTGAAATAAACGTTTTGGTAAAAGGTTCTCTTTATATTTAAATATATAGTTGTAATCATGTGTGGGTTCTTTACTTTTAAGATTTAGGAGGTTTTTCACTAAAGAGCCGAAGGATTTAGCCGAACAATCAGCTAATCCTTTGGCTCACTTTGGCTGCAGAAACCCTTCGGTTCAGCCAAAACGAAGGACTGCTGTAACCGCTATTTTCAATAGCGCGTACAGCAGCCGAAGGCAACCGAATAAACGCAGAAGGCAGCCATGCAAAACAAACATGCTTTAGTGCAGCAATGCCAAACAAAACACAGCATGGTAGCAAATCATAGCAGACCCTTTAGGTCTAGTAGGAATGTTAGGGAGAACACCGATGAAAAAGAAAACAAATGTGTGGGGTTCACCTACAAATTCATATCAGACCCTTTATGTTTGGGGTTATGAAGTGGGGTCCCCTCTAAAATTCCATACTAGACCCTTAATCCAAACAGTGGCCTGGCAGGGCAGGAAAAAGGGGGGGGGGGTTGAGGATGCGAGCGCTCCCCCTCTCCATGCACCATACCAGGTCACATTCCCTCAACATTGGGGAGGTGTATTTCCAGGGGGGGGAGGGGGGGCCTGGAAAAGCTCTTTGTCCCCATACCGATGAGGACAGGGGCACCCTTCCCACAACTCTGGCCCGGTGGTTGTGGGGGTCTGCAGGCAGAGGGGCTTATCATAAAGGGGGCACCCAGATGCTGCCCCCTTTGTGAATAAGTAAGGGGTAGTTGTTACCCCTACTCATTTACCAAAAAGTGCACAAAAGTAAATAAAAACACAACACAGTGACAAATCCTTTAATTGAACAAAGACAAAGTCCGTTTTTGTCCTGCCGATGAAAAAGGGCAGAGCGAGTCATGATGTCACGAGACTTGCTCCGCCTATTTGTTTACATGCCATTTGAGGACAGAGAGCTGTCATGGAATGAAAACAAATGGGTGGAGCAAGTCTTGATGTCACGGTGTTGTGTTATTATTTACTATTTTGTTTACCTTTTGGTGAATGAGTAGGGGTAACAACTTCCCCTTACTCATTCACAAGGTAGGCGGTATCTGAGTGCCCCCTTTAGTAAAGGGGCACCCAGATGCAGATGAGCCATCTTGCCCGCAGACCCCCACAACCACCAGGCCAGGGTTGTGAGGAAGAGGCCCTTGTCCTCACCAGCATTGGGGCAATGTGCTTATCCAGGGGGTATTCCCCTGGAAAAGCACCCTCCCAATGTCGAGGGCATGGAGCCTGGTATGGTGCAGGGAGGGGGGCCACCCCACCCTTTTTTGTTTTTGTTTACAGCAACAGGTTTCATTCTGTTCACTACCTCTGACGTAGCGAACAGAATGACCGAGATGAATGCTTAGCCGAACATTCGGCAATTCACTCTCTGCTGTTCGGCCCCTTGGAGAATAGGGGTGAACAGCAGAGAAAGAACTTCCGAACGTTCGCCTCAGATGATCCAGAAGTTGCATCGGCTGAGGCAAACAGGCTCTTTGCTTTGGTTCAGCCGAATGTGCTGAGGCTGTTTGGCTGAGCCGAAGGGAAGTGAAGCGGGCCAAATGCACCCAATGTACAGCTAAAAATAGCCATACACGGCGGCAGTGAATAGCCAAAGAGACTTCGGCTCCCTTCAGTTTGGCTCTGTTATTCATTTGGCTGCCTTCGGCAGCTTAGAGAATAACCCCCTAATATTGATGTAAAGTTTAGTTAAGTAAATGATGCAATGATTTCTCAGTTCATGCATTTTTGTCTATACATTGCCTTAAGAGACTGGAATCAGCAGCACCAAAACCTTCTATAGTACCATTGTACTATAGAAGATAACACTAATAGTCAGATAACACTAATAATCTTGCTGCTTCTCACAACTCAAAGCATGCTCTTTACAGGCTTCAACAACAAAGGATACATATATATCTCATACATTAGAATGCTTTTTTTTCCTATTTCCTTAAGCCATACATAGTCTTAACATGCACCAAAGGATTATATGATAACCTTGGTGACCAATCAGAGCCCAATTTTCATTTTGTAACAAAACCACATGTAGAAATGTGTAGAACTTGTCTGTTTTTATTTAAAGGGCTGTGCAGCTGAGAAAAAGCCAGAAATTATCATAGGAGGAAAGCAGTTTGGCCTGTCCAGGAATAGCCATATGGCATATGCATTTGATGACACAAAAGTAAAAAACAAGTGAGTTGTGATTCTTCTACTCTTCCTTTTGGAATTTTAATTTCTTTGAAACTTAACACAGTGTAGTAATCTGTTTTCATTTTTACAGCATCTTATTTTCTGTATTATAATTACAGGCTTACCATAGAACTTGAACTCCGCACTACCGCTGATTCGGGCTTGCTGTTCTACATGGCTCGTATCAACCATGCTGACTTTGCCACTGTTCAGATTAAAGATGGAATGGCTCATTTAAGATATGATCTTGGAAGTGGAGATACTACCACAATGGTTCCTCAAAAAGTTAACGATGGAGAATGGCATAAGGTACATATAAGGAATAAAATGGTCTGTTTTCAAAAATCTGCATAGTGGTTATACATACCAGTGACGTGCAGTACCTCTTGTTCCAGGTGAGGCATTTCCCAGCTCCAAAAAAAGTTGTCAGCTTCAGACTTGAAGCTGACAGTTTTTTCCTCCATAATTCTAGGTGAGGCTCACTTGGGTCCCCTGACCGCACGTCCCTGATACATACTAGTGTGCACCCATATGTTATACAGTACGTACTAATGTACATGCTGAGCAATCTTTTGCACTACTGTTTAAAAACATGCAGGGTGTAAGAATGCGTATAACTAATTCTGTAAAAAGACCTTTACTATCTGATCTGCAAGTTTATGTGTCTTATAAGCACGTACGTTTTTTACACTTTAGAACATGGACCCTTTGCAGGAAAAAAAAGCGCACTCAAAATACGTGTAATATAAAATAAATGTATTAAGGATAAAATGTTAAAATGCTCTCCTCACAAGTTTATAATGTATAAAGCACTTGTCGGTGGACAATTGAGAACCTTCTGCTCATGGTCTGCTCAACATGGCTAGTGGTGGGGTATGTAAATGTGCAATTCAGAGGTGTTGGAATTGGTTGGAAGCACAGACCAGCTTGAACGATGTTAGCTCACAGCCTCCATGCCATACTATTAAGAGATTATCAATAGTCTCCTCCTACTTCCAGGTCAAACATTTGCCTCTATAATTAGACCTGGTGTATTGAGTTCTTACATAGACATAGAAATTGGTGTTCCTACTTACAGAAAGGAAGCATTACCAAATGCTATACTTGTTTAGGATGTAGTATAAAGGCCGGGGCTTTCTGGAATGAAAGGACAGTGGAAATATGCAACATTTTCATACATGAGCCCCATTGTCTCAAGTGAGATGAAGATAAAAATGTCTTTGGAAGAAACCTTATTACATCAGGAACCTTATCAAACCTAGCCAACTTTAAATGTTGGCTTACATTGCATGAAAGGCATATAAAGCCCAAATTACATATATGATGGTTGAGCAGTTTGCAATTGAGCAGCTCAGAAATTGCCTGTGGATAATTGTTGATCATTCACTTAAAAACGGCACCTGTTGACTTCACTAGATATCACACAATTGTGTTTTGCCACGATCATCCACAAACCAACGTGCAACAGTTTATCTAAAATCTACCGTTTAGTTTGCATCTGAAAAAACAAAAGAACATTCACTAAGGAAGCAAAGTTGAAATGATAAAAGTATAGACACCTTCATCTCTAAGCAAGTTGTTTAAGTATGTGTTTCCATATGTTTATATGAATGCACTATTTTATCAGAATAGTTATTTACTTCACTCTGGTTCTAAAAACACACATTTAATTGTACATACAATTTAATTTATAGGGTGTGGACCAGTTAAAGTAGGGGTCTCAAAGTCAATTCCCTCAGGGGCCACTCGACAAATTGTTTTCTCCCATGGGGCCCCTTGTCAAATGTTATACTTTAAAATAATATTTAACTATATCCGGTTTGGTACTACGGACCCTAATACACAAACAATGAGGCCCCATTCATATCTGTAGGTTTATGACAGCAGTTGAATGTAAACTCCTGCACACCACATGTAATAATATGTGATATTATTACATGCGGTTAGAAAACACTCTCCCTGAATGCGTCCAGGGAGAGTGATTATTTCCTAACCAAATGTAATCATATCACAAAGCATTACATGCGGTGTGCAGGCGTTTACATGCAACTTGTGTCACCTGATCATTAACTTGAATAGGTGACAGTTGCCGCTTTAAATTCCAGATTTGGCATTCCTGCCGCAGGTAACACATGTTCCTGATGCAGGAATCCCTAATTGTACCTAAAGATACAGGTGTGAATGGAGCCTAGTACACTTCTACTCCCCCCATACACATAAAACAAATACTACTCCTCAACTCCCACCACCTCTCTGGGAGTTGCCGACCTTTTTAACCCCTTCAAGGGGCAGGAAGGTCAGCCCTGCGGTTGTCCTTAAAGGGACCACAACCCAAATAGGGGCGATACATCCAGGACCACGAAGACACCGGCCGAAAGGATGTGAGTGCCGCCACAGAAGCAGCTATGCGGTGTGCATCCGACAGGGATGCAGATCGTGTAGCTGCTCCCGCAAGTCTGGTACACAGTCCGTGACCGCGTACCTGACTTGTGAGCTGGCTGCAGGCCACGTAGTAGCGCTCGCGGGCCGCAATTGGCCCACAGGCCGGTACTTTGAGACCACTGAGTTAAAGTGATATTAAAGCTTTAACTTTTTTTAAGCAATTCCTACTGCTGAGGAGGAGACTTACAGAATGCATGCAGTTTTTTAATGTACTGTATTTGCCCTTCTCAGCATTCTGCAGGTCCATTAGTGCTACCGAAGCTTTCTCTTTTCAGGGTGGTTGCAGTGTCCTACTGAGCCATCCTTGTATGCGCATTCCCGACAATGAACTGTGTGTGTATCTACATAAACACACAATCTCAAAACCTTAGGATGGCAAGCCACTCCTCTGCTCCAGTCGCCACTCTCCTGAAAGTCAATACTTGGACAGCTGCTGTCCCTTGTAACTTGGTACACAGAGTGCGCTTTCCCCAACAGGAAGTTCAGGGAAGCTGTGCTTAGGGATCTGGAGACGGCGTCAGTGAAGCTTCAAACATGTGATTGGTACATACCGGTATATGAACCAAATCATGTACTAGGAAATGTTTCCCTGGTACATGAGAAAATATTATGTTAAAGTTCCTGGGTTTAATAATACTTTAATATACAACACAAATTGATAATATTTTATACTCAAGCAAGTTTTGCTCATAATACGACATGCAGAATGCATATTTTTATTTAAGAAGCATACTCTGTGGATGTAGATTTATAAATTGTAAATTTTATGTAAAATAGTTCTTACTATTAATATTAAACTTGTTTTTTCCCCAAGATAAATATATTGAGAACAAAGCAGACAGGATCTCTGTTTGTTGATGGAATTGCAAACAGCACAAACAGTCCAAAGAAAGCAGACATTCTGGATGTAGTGGGCATGCTCTATGTGGGTGGATTGCCTATTAATTATACTACCAAACGTATTGGCCCGGTAAGACATTTCTCTCATTTTGTCATTTTTCTGAGTTTTACTGAAGGTCATAGTGGGTTTTTTCTCACCTTCTAAAACAGCTGGTTAAAATGAAACTTTTTAATGTGCTTACATTTAGTTATTTTCTGTTTTCTAGGCTTTTACTGTGCAAGGAATACAAAACAGTTACATATATTTATTTTGATCTGCCATTATGCTACTTTATGTGCATTGTACACGGCGGTGTTTGCATGATCCTGAGCTTTTAGTTCATAAAATATCTTATATTTGATTGTTTAGTTCACACTGCCAATTTTACTTTTCATGAAGAAACATAGCATTAGCTTCAATCAGTAAATATAATCACTGAGTCACTGTCCAAATACAGTCATTGTCAGTTATTACAAGGGTGGGACATGACTTTGTGGCTAGGTCATACGTTTCAAAATGTCTCTACCCTACCACAATGCGCCAATCACATATGTCATTAGTATATTGTACCTATCATATCATACTTTTATTTTCCTGCAAGCGGCATTATAAAAGGTTATTTTATTATGTGTTAAAAACAAATATACCAAACAAATAAACCCCCGGCTCTTGCGGTGGCAGTTTTTGTAAAGGTATCACTGAATGAAGCCTTGCCAACATATGAAAATGGTTAGTTGTACCTTTTGGCATATGCATATTTCCTCTAGACACATATTTTAAATGACAATATATTGTACATTTTAATAGAACAATTGATAAAATAGCATAGTTTTATGTCTTTTTTGTAAATGTAAAAACTGTTATTAGAAAAAAAATGTAATTCATTGTGTTGTTTTTTTTAATAAGGTTTTACATAGTATAGATGGCTGCATCCGCAATTTTAGATTGGTAGAAGGAAATACAGATTTTAATAAGCCTACCTCCAGCTACAATGTTGGCTCATGCTTTGCTAATCCACAAACAGGAACCTATTTTGATGGATCAGGGTTTGCAAAAACAGGTAATTGTTTTTTGAATATTAAATAAATGTGTTTTGTATTCTCCTCTTTCGCAGTGCAACCTAGTTCCTACATAAAATTACAGTATTGAGTCTCCCATAATACTTGTGGTCCAAGTACCTTTGCCTAAGAACAAACCTAGGACATTGACCTCCAGAGCTTGTTCAAACATTCACCCCGGCTACTGACTGGACAATAAGGGATCAGCATAGTTGCAATGTGATATTATATTTGCTCTCCCCTCCTGCATGCATGTTCACAGTGTTATTTTCACTGCACCATGTATAGCTTCTACAATGAATAAGGCATTAAAACAATAAGCAAACCTTATGAGGTTGGGAGTTACACACAGTGAAAATAAATCGACACAGACTCCTTAAGATTTCAGATTTTTGGCTTGTAAATACATTCAGTCCTTTGAAAAAGAAAATACACCCCATGGAAATTGTTTACCTTTTTAACATACTATATATGAACACACCAACATTAACAGGGTTATTCACAAAAGGGTGAAGTGTTTGTAGAAGGGAGGAGAAGGGAACAATTTAGAACAAACATAGCTGAACTGGAAAGTGAGCTGAATTGTAGAATTTTTCCAAATCAGCTATATTGTTCTAGATTGTTCACTTCTCCTGCCTTCTCCAAACTCTTCATCCTTTTTGAATAACCCTGTGGGTCTTCATTGAACCAGAGTCTAGAGATTATTGTGATACACCTGAATGAAAGAGCAAGGGAATTTTGCTCTTTTAGTCATTTATTCACCAAAAGTATGAAAGATGTAATGGTGTACTGTGGAAAAGGTAAGCACACCCTTGGCCTCAGAACCTGGTAGTGCCCTCTTTACCAGCAATTACTTCTTGTAGGCATTTTGCAAAACTGCCGACCAGTCTCTGACATTGGCTTGGTGAAATTCCTTTAGTTGCAAGATGTGTGTGTGTTCTCTTGTATGAACTGCCCTATTCAAATCCCCCCACATTTCAATAGGATTAAAGTCAGGTTTTCGAAATCTACACTACTTGCAGATCAATTTTCTTACAGTGGAAAAAGTGATGTTCTCATGATGACACCACACTTGTCAATAGAGAATACAATTCCACCTGCATACCCCCTAAGGTGGTTCTAAAAATTGGCACCTAATCTAGAATACCCGATTCTAATTCCATGGATTTGAATTTGTGGTAGAGATGTGCTTACTTTTTCCATGTGACAAACCTGCATTTTCTTTAACTTAGAGTGTGAGAATGAATGCATCATGTAAATTCTATGTGACACTTATTCAAATATATCCCCTTTATCTGCAGGCACTGTTTGAATGAATTTCAGCCTACATATTTTTGTCATGGCAAGCGTACTTTAAATAATTTTCATACCACCATGCATCCGGAGTAATAAAAATCATTTGCAGAGAACTCAACATCTTTTATACTTATACCAGCACTTAGGGACTGAGGCTTGTCCTTGGCAGGGATGTGTATTTTTGTAAAACAAACTAACCTGAAGTGCTTTCCTGCTGTTTATGTGCCAAAGTAAAGGTGAACACCTAGATTCTTAGTGCAGCTTTCGCATGATAGACCACATGTATTTACAGTTACTGCACAACCCAACTATCAATACATACAAAGATAGAAAATTGTGGCACAATGCAACCAGTTTAGTTTTTGAATAAATTAAAAGCATGAGTTTGACTGTGAAGTCCTTTTATTTACATTGATTGATGGTGTCATTGTTGCTTTGCAAATTACTGATATTACTGATCTACCTTTGTCCCTTTAAGCAATTAGGCAATTTAGTTTATATTCACTTACTGTTTTTCAGTGGGAGTTTTTAAAGTAGGCACCGATTTAGTAGTAGAACTGGAATTTCGCACAACAAGGACCAATGGTGTTCTCATTGGAATTAGTGGCAAAAAAATGGATGGTTTGGGCATTGAACTGGTGGATGGTAAAGTAAGTGACTATTTATTTGGCCTACTGCATTCTTATAAAGATGTTTAGTAATGTTGAAGATATAGCTGCCAGAAATATGGATGTGGATTTCCAGAAAAAGTTTAATGTTTAGCATAAAGGTTTTATATTTTCTCAAAGAAAACCGAACTTTCTTAAAGCTGAACTATGGGAATTAGACAAACCCTAATCTAAGGCTCCCTCCCACCACTGCAAGGGTGAAAAGCTCACTAACTCTAGAGGTAGAGGAAAAGGCTGCATTACTTACCTTTTCCTCAAACCGGGAAACTTCAATGCTCTTCCCTTTTACCTAATGGTCCGGGCTGTTGAAAGTCTATCAGCATTATCATTTGCAATGCTGGGCTATTAACTCTCAATTGTATGTGAGGAAGTAAGTTTGCGAGCACGGCCAGGAGCACCTTAGAGAGGGGGCTTTGGGGGTCTAGTTGTATAAGGTAAATGTTACACCTTAATCCTGTACCCCTAGACATAACAAGCATTTAACCTTTGCAGTAAGGGGGGGGGGCTTGCAAGGGTAGATTTTGTCTTATTCCCAGCTTTAATACCAGTACCATGACTAAAGAGATACTTTAATGTATATATAATACAAGTACAGGCTGTTTTTGTTAGAAATCAAAAGGACATAATGTTCCTCTTGTCTATGTGCATGATATTTTATACATCATATGTCATTGTATATCTTATAAAACACTTAATAGTTATCGCTTCAATCACGTTTGTTGTAATGAAGTTAAAAAAGGGTATTTGCTCTAAGTACTCTCGTAAAAGAGACAGACAGATTTATTTTTTGTGAAACCTAAAGAGCTAATGTTCTAAAATGTTTATAGCTAAAGTGCCTAGTGTACTGGGAAGACAATGGACCCCTTTTTTTTAAAACAGGCCTCTGTTTGTGGTGATAATGAAGTAGTATCCCTAGGCTAAACCGTCCTTCTTCCAAGTGTAATATTTGCACAAAGCTTTTTTTTAACTGTTTTTACATATAACCAGTACATTATTTGTATTAATTTAAACATATTGTGTTGTACAACATGCTTAAAGTTTTTATTGTTGTATAGGTCGCCACTGGGGAGATTCCCTCCTTTATTTGTACAGGTGACCATTGGTATGGAGAAAGAAAGTGAGGGGAAATCCAAAATTGTAGAGTTTTCCCCAGAACAAGAGAAAGTAAATCTTCCAATGGGGACACCTCTTTAAGTGTGGAATTCCCCTCACTATGGACAGTTTCCTCTAACTTTGTGTTGCATCTCTGGCACAGGAAGTAAAGGGAAATTTCCTTAATGGTACACAGACAGCAAAATTAAACTGGCAAAGGGTTTTCACCCTTCCCTACTCTATCCAAAACAAAAAAAAAGTCTGGCCTTTGCTATTGGCAGAGCACAGATGGCCCTAGGAATGTCATGTTTGTCTCAGCCCTATTTATATATGCAGAAGATGTTTCATGATTTAAATCCTTATACGGGTTGTTTCAGTTTTTTAAATGTTTCATTATAACATGTTTCTATATTTTTAAAGTATATTTACAAGTTTCAGGAATACAAATACAATCTCTACAGATAAGGATAGTTTTGTGTTCTCATCCATCAGTAACCATAATTGGTTTGCAACATAGTGTAGTACTTCATGTATATAGTAAACATTATATATGTTGAAAAACTGAAATGAAAAACTGCTGAAAAACTGGACTTGTTATATAAAGGAACAAGATGTCCTACTTTCTTTTTTAATTTCATAACTAGATTGGTTTGCAATAGCTCCATGTATAGCTTAAAGTGACATTAAACCCTCAGATTTTTTTACATAAAACAATACTGTAATGTGCGCCTTACTGTAATCCATGGTTGTTTCCCTTCTCTTTGCTGCTCTTCCTTTTAAATCTGTATCTGTTCTCATGCTGGGCAGAACTTCTGTTTTGCAGCAGACTGCCTTGTCTCAGGAATGGATGCATGGTGTCTGTGTATAGGTTTGTATAGGCTTGTAACCTGAGCCAGCACTACAGGAAGAGGCCCTGAGCTGCAAAGGGAAGTTCTCCCCAAGCATGAGAAGACATGAGAATTTAAAAGGAAGAGCAGCAAAGAGAAGGGAAACAACCATGGATTACAGTAAGGCACACATTACAGGATTGTTTTATGTTTAAAAATCTGAGGGTTTAATGTCACTTTAAGTCTCAACTCCAGGCAAACCGCTCGATATCCAGATACACAAAAATATAATCCCTCCATGCAGTTCTGAGGTTTACACAGTTCTGCCACACAGAGAAAGCAAAGTCTGGTAGTGCAGGAGACCCTACTGAAGTTTAGTAACACTTAGAGGTCCCCTTCCCACCCCCAGCCCATGACTAGACAGTGAAAACAGAGCCAGCACACCGATGAGCCAATCTCACTATTACTCTGTGCTTCCACTATTAGAATACTCCTTGGGCTGCTTTTTAATTCTCCTATTCTGTGCTCTGCTATAAATGTGATTGCAACAGGCTGATAGCAAGTTTAGTTTAGAATCTTACACAGCTTTCATTTAATATTTATTCATAAATAAAGAGCTGCATCAATTTGTGTCTTTTTATATTTGGTTGGAGTTCAGCTTTAACTTTAAATAAATTCCATCCCATGCCATCACCCATTTATGACCAGCAGTACTTGGAAGAGGGTGACCTATGGTGGGTATAGATTTGTAGGGATTATGTTATTGACACTCGTTTCTGCCATTTGAATATGTGTTTGGAAAACTGTCTCCTTTTTTACATGTTGCCTTTCTTTAGCTTCTATTCCATGCAGATAATGGAGCTGGTCTGTTCACAGCAGTCTTTGAGCCTAAGCTGCCATCTAGCTTGTGTGATGGACAGTGGCACAAACTGGTGGCAAGTAAAATAAAACACCGCTTAGAGATGATCGTTGATGACAACAAAGTAGAAGCTGCAAGTCCAAATTCAGCATCCACTTCCGCAGACACTAATGATCCAGTCTTTGTAGGAGGATATCCTGGTGAGTACATTCAAGTTATAAGATAAAAGCTGTCAGTGCATATTTTGACATATGATGCTTGAAATAAAGATGCCCTGAAGGCATAACTTCTCTGCAATGGCCAAAAGACAGGTAGTGCTAAATAATAAGCTAAATATGAGTATATTTCACCTACTGGAAATAATTTTTAGAAATATTTTTCCGAAATAAAAAAAATAGGATAAGAATGTTATTCACATCTTTGTGATATGTTTAAAATAATAGAACATGATCATTTATGTAACACCTGAGCAGTGATCTATCAATGGGTCTCTCTGCCATTCACATTGGGTCATTCTTATCCACAAACTTCACCCAACAGTTTCCATTATTTGTAATTGATTTATACAGCCAAGAGTCTCCCCAACATTCTAACTCTTAACCTCAGTCTATTTCGTAGACCTAACAGTTAATCTGAGACCAAACCATAAACCTGAAACCAACCTCTAAAACGTAAATGTTAAACAAAAAAACCTGTCAGCCTGTTTAAAACTAAAATTCCTTTCTAAAGGTGCCCATACACCTTACAATTATCTGCAGATTTTCTGTGGTCAGATGGAAAAAGTGCAACAGATTGGCCCAGGTGGAGATTACTCCATCCACTCAGTTAAGTGTAGATGGAGGAATCTGTTGCACTTTTTCCATCTGACCACAGAAAATCTGCAGATAATTGTAAGGTGTATGGCCAGCTTAAGAACAGGTACCACATTGCAGCTCGTTTTGAAAACAGGGTTGTTGCTTGCACATGATTAGATGATAGAAGCACAGTTTCACCTCATTTACTAATATCTAGCATACTAAGGGAACAAAATAAATAAATATAAACTGTGAAATGTATGGAAAACTATACACACATTCAAGACCACTCTAAATAAAAAAACATACTCTATATTTGTATCAAAGAATAAATCTGGATAGTAATGTAAATAGGTTTTAAACTTAACGGTTTGTTAAAGAAGAACTCCAGGATTTTTGTATTAACCCTTGCAGTGCTTGTTTATGTCTAGGTGTTAAAAAAACCAAAGATGTATTCACCCAAAGCTCTGAGCTGGCCATGGCGGTCCCTCCAGCCTGTCCTCTCCTTGGCAGCACTTTTGAATGTTCCTCAGAGTCCTCACGTCTATGCATAGGGTATAGACGTGATGATTTACCGGACCTTATACTGCTGCAGAGGAGGGGGAGAGACATTCCAGGGACCAGTAGAAGCCGGCTTGGAGCTTTGGGTAAATATATCCTAGGGTTTTCTTTTTTAACCTAGTCACAAATAAGCAGTTAATAAAGAAAATTCCTGGAACTCGGCTTTAAATTGTGTTTTACATATTAATGAAAAGACAATAAATACATTATTTGGTAAAATGCTATATGATGATTGTGAAAATGTCCTTCTCAAAGCAGCTAATAGCAGTCTGTCACATTAATATAGACTTGGTTTGTAATTTTTAACATCTAATTGGTTTAAATGAGTGGCGGGAACATAGCTTAGTATTTATATCTGCATAGGTAACTTAGTCGCCTAAATCCAATCTCCATGGTACTATGAAATATGTCAAGGCAGATGTTCACTGAGAACATGATGGGAAATGTGAAAGTCTGTGAGAACACCTTGTTCTAATTACCATAATCCAATCACTATTGTGTCTGGAACAAGTGATAATTCCCAACACTCATTTAAACTGATGAAGCCACTTGGATGAGTGGTGAAATGTCTTCAGCCTTACAGGCCAATTCCCGTTACAAAGTCTAACTACTTCTAGCTGTGCCATGACTTGGATAAATAATTGCTTTCACAGGTCTATTCGTTTTTTTGTGATGAGGCTTTCATTAAAGCTAAATTCAAGGCAAACAGCTAAATACACATTTGTGACCTGTCTTATTTGCAAAATGATTTGTAATTCTGTCCAGCCACTTGTGATTTATACACATCTGCCAGTCAGCCCTGCCAGGGGTAGGGGGTTATACAATTTTCTCTGTTAGAGTAGTTTAACTTAATGAATATAATAGTGTCATCTTCCCTCCCACAGCCTGCTCTTTGGATATTGAAGATGCAATAATACGTTAATAAGTAATCAATCCTGTTCACTCTGCTTTCTGCTGCTACCAGCATGCACCCTGTCAACACATGTGCATAGAGCAGAAACTGATTAGCTTCAATGACTGTCCCTCCCTCTGCCAGTCTGAGTGCTGCTGTTATTCAGGAAAGACAGAGGCTGATATGGAAACTCACAGGGTTATTCACAAAAAGGGTGAAGAATTTGGAGAAGGCAGGTGAAGTGAACAATCTAGGACAACATAGCTGAACTGGAAAGTGAGCTGAATTGGATAATTTTTCCAAATCAGGTGTGTTGTCCTAGATTGTTCTCTTCTCCTGCCTTCTCCAAACTCTTTACCCTTTTGTGTATAACCCTGTGATTAGATTCAGTGTAATCCTTTTTGAAGAGTACACAACCACATTAAATGTTGGTTTTATGTCTGTCTAGAGTTCAACTTAAAATGTTAGTAAACTTTTCTCATTTTGTATTGATCTCATGTTTGTCCTTAGATAGCAATGAATTAGTATAACTGAATCAAACTTTATTATTCTGTGCCTTGTCCCTTTTACTTACAGAAGATGTAAAGCAGTTTGGTCTGACCACCAATGTGAGTTTCAAAGGCTGTATCAAGGATCTTAGACTTACCAAGGGCACTGCCAAAGCACAAGAGATCAACTTCAGCAGATCACTGGAGATAAAAGGAGTGCAACCTTTGTCATGCCCATGATGCATCTGCTGCCAATATGACCAATAACAAACCATTTCCATGTTTTGATGTGTGCGTATGCATGGAAACGCCATATCCTGTAGTTTCCATGTAGCTCACAAAACAAATAATTGTTTCCCCCATATGTTAAATAAAAAGAGCATTTCTGTATTTGATGTATGTGTATTCATTATTTGAATGTAAAACGAGCAAGTTTATTGTGTGTATGACACTGCTGAAGGATATGACATAACCCTTGTTTTGTTGCTGGAAAGCCATTTTTGTTTTTTGGTAAGTAGATAGTATATCATATGACCGACAACAGTTTTCCAGCTGATGAAAAATAGAACGTTAAATCCCAAAATGCTGTGTGTAGGCTGTCATTTTTTTAAAAGCCCAACGTCGGACAAGTCCTAGGGGAGCAAGTGCTTACTAGGGTGGCAGATTGCCCTTTTGAAATGTGTTGTTTACATTGGTGAGAAAACAAATTAACATTTTATGTGTCTAGTTTTCTACTGCATATCATTTGAGGTCTACAGTACTATGGAATATCAGGATCTGTGATCATGGCATAGCTTATGAACAGAGTAAGATAAAGAATTCATGTAAAAAATGGGCATAAGTGTAGGTTTTTTTTTCTATTTTGCTTTGTAACTTCATGTTCTTTCTTGCCAGAAAGCTTCCTTTCTTTTGCGGGGGGGCAGGTCAGTATAGGATCAGTAGAACATAGTTATTGTAGCTAGCTTGCAATATAATTAAATGCAGGTTAAATAGCTCTCAGAATACATAATATTAACAGCATTTCATACTGACAGCTGGGAACACCACTTAATTTACAAACATGTATAAATCCTGCCCATTTAATCTAGGGGTAGAGGAATAGGCAGAAATACTTACCTTATTCCTTGCACCTACTGGCTTCCTCCCAGCTGCATGACTACTCCCCCAAAGTTGCTTCTCTTTGCTGCTCCACCAGTCACATTCTGACATCATGACGTACAACACAGAACCAGCGGATGGAGCCCCACTGCAAGGGTAATTTTTAACATTTGCTGTATGATTATGAAATACATGTATAAATTATAGCCCCTAACTGTGCCTCATTTGGAGGTACTGCCCCCATTTTTAAAACAAACAAATCACTGTGCACTGTTCAACTACCAAAAGGATACAACACTCAACATTTTATCCAACCTTTAAATAACTGCTGTTGTCATTTTGAGAAGGAAGTGGTTAAAAAAAGGACAGTTGCGTGTTTAACCACAAGTACGTTTTGGTTCTTTAGCCCACGTAACTGGTAGCATGTCAAGAGTGCATCCTTTGTCTAGATACTTTGTGCTAAAAGGTGTTCTAACATATATCAAGAAAGTATGTATGGAATGTATGTAAGTTTGATATATGTATTGCGCCATTTACAAATGCAAAAACTACTGATCTAAAATGGAACTGGAGAGTAAGTGGGATCTAGAGCATCTGTGAAATTATTTTTTATTGCTGTCTGCGTTCTCAATGGGGAAGATTTCCTTTACACGTGGCAGTAGTCAGGGACGTGGGGGGAAATCTATTTAACAGAGACATAAGAAAACATTTTCTTAGTAGTGTGGTGAATAGATATTGCATTGTTTGTCCCTGTTGGAGATAGTCTGTTTACTTTTTATCACAGAGACAGCGGTCATTGAGACAACAAGTGAGCAGCATGTTTAGAATGAGAACCAAGTAAGCAGCATTGGCACGTGATCTAAGCCAAAACATGACAGAGGATCTAAGCCATCACCACACTATGCAAATATAAAGAGCATAATTAACTGACATGTACTTTATTTCAGTAAAAAGCAAACAAACACAAGACTGGCAGTAGAATAAAATAGAATGTCTAGTAATTTAGAGAATGTAATTACAACCAGAACATAATCTGTGTGCAACTGTATTTTGTCTCCAGGTTTGCATGTGTGTACAATCCAAAAGAAACTACAGTAGTAGGTTAATTTGTGTTAAACAAAAAGGTTTGTAGGAGGCTCCATAATGTGCTTTAGCAGCCCCTCTTTACACCCTACAATGTTATGCTTGGTGCCTGGATGACCTGTTGCCTAAGGTACCTAGACCTATGCAAAAAAAAAAAAGTAACCCATTTAAATCGCTACAGCTGGCAAACCATCCTTAATGTCGCAAAATAATTGTCAAGTTTAGATAACGAAATAAGCACCACTAAAATAACTAAGTTTTTTAAAAAATAAAACAAAGTAACATTTATTGAAACATGGTTTTAAAACATCTACAACCACACTCCTATTGAATATATAAAGGGTCAGTCACAAAGCTGCCGAAGGCAGCCGTATGAATAACCGCCCCGAAGGGAAGTGAGCCGAACGCTGTTCGACTATTCACTTCAGGCTTGTATGGCTGATTTCAGGTGTACATTAGCTACAATCAGCCATACATCGGCTGGCTTCGGGTAGGCTGAACATGCTTCGGGTTCGGCCGACCCGAAGTGCAGAAGGAGTTCGACTAAGCCGATCCAACATCTAGATTGGCTGAGACGAACCTCCGGCAGGCAACTCACTGCTGTTCGGCCTATTCTCATAGGATGCCGAACAGCAGTGAGTGAATAGCATTCGGGCATTCTGCTCGGCTATTCTGCTCGGTACCTCTGTGGTACCAAGTAGAATAGAAAACCAGTTAAAAAGTACAAAAAAATAGAAAACGATTGGGCGGAGCTAGCAGTGACAGCTAGCTCCCCCCAACTGTTTTCTATTGGCTGGGGCCAGCTGTCATTACAATGAGACCTTAGCGGGGCTGGCGGTGATAGCAAAGCCGGCTCCACTAAGCTCTCATTTTAATGACAGATCAGTGTCCCCTGGTTACCTGGTAACCAGGGGACGCTGTTCTGTCATTACGATGAGAGTTTAGCGGAGCCGGCTTTGATATCACCGTCGGCCCCACTAAGCTCTCATGACAGTTCAGCATCCCCTGGTCACTAGGTAACCAGGGGACGCTGAACTGTCATTACAAACTGAGAGCTCTGTCATTACAAACTGAGAGTTCTCAGTGTAATGACAGATTAGCGTCCCTGGTTACCTGGTAACCAGGGGGCGCTGATCTGTCTCTGCAAGTAGCCGGAGCCAGCCGTTTGGCCAGCGTCGGCTTTCACCTTGGCTCAGTCGAGCGGAAGCATATGCCTTCGGCTCGACTGAGCCGCTCTGCCAACTTCGGGAGCTGTACGGGCTATAGTGAATAGCCCGTACAGCAGCCCTTTGGTTCTTCTGAACTGAAGGGCTTCCATAACCGAAGCTAGCCGAAGGATCAGCCAAAGCTACGGCTGGATCCTTCGGCAGCTTTGTGAATAACCCTTATATAGTAGTCTGCCTTGTAAGCAGTACCGTAAATGGCAATCCTGTTAGTAATTATAAGGCTACCACAGATCTTCAGTGCTTTAATGTAAGTAATGATAGCTTAAATAGCTAAAGGAATTGTCAAACAAAGGGCTCTAACTTGCTTTAGAGAGGCATTTAACCCTTTAGTTGCCAGAGTAGTTTTTGCGTTTTTTTGCACACATGTTGAAATGCACATTTTAGGCCTCAGTATTACTTAAACTTCCCAGAATTATAGATTTCCTAAAAACAGAGACCCTGTAGAATAAGATGGTGGCAGTTGCAATTTTGTATGTCGCATGTTATTAACGTAACTGTTTACCAAACCCAAATGTTTAGTAAACAAATATACTTAAGTTAATTTTAGTGCACATAAACACAATATATTACCCATTTTTTGATAAAATATAAAAGACTGGGGTGCTCCAAGTACATAGATACCAAACATGTCAAGCTTGAAAACTGTTTGCGTCTGTGAAATGCCAAAAAACAGAAGTACCCAAAATTGTCTATTGGCAACGCTCTGAAAGCTTTTACAGGCCATCAGTTTAGAACTAATCCTCAATAATGGCCCAAGAATTATTGCTTTCCCAGTCTATGGAAAGAATGTTAGGAAGTCTCCCTGCCAGCTTGTCCTCCAGATGTTTAATTTTTTGCTTCCTCTGTGGTGTCTGGTTAAGTCTGCGATTTGTTCCATGTATCCAAAAGGGTGGCCAACCAGTAATGGTCCTTGATGGCCTGAATCTTATGGCCCTTTTCCTGGCACGTCACCATGAATAAGCCAATGCACCACAAATTTCTGGAGGCACAGTAACCCGAGTCATCTGGGTTGTTCAGGACAACAATGTTATTGACTATCTTCCCCCCACCAACAACTCGCACCAACAACTCACTGGGTTTTGGGAGGGTGAAATGTAGCCCAGGAAGTCTGCCCCATGTTCTCTTCATCAAAGCAAGCACTGAAACCCTCCTCCTCATGCTCCCCCTCTACTTGATGCTGCTGGCAGTCAGCAAAGTTACCCAGTGTGTTGTAAAGAAGATATAACATTCCTGCCCATGCTTGCTGGAGCATGTATCTGTGATCCTGTGGACCCTGTTGCTGACCAAGAGGTCCAGTGACATGGAGATCTAGTTTCCACATGATGATGGAGGACAGGGATGGCCTTTTGAGCAAAAAAAATGGCAGCCAGGCACCTGCCACTATGGTATAACACAAAGTGCAAAGTCTAAGCTGCAAAGGGAGAAGCTGTAAAGCCAGCAACTTTTCCAAGCTGGCATTAGTTTGATGGGCATGGGGGTGACAGAGTGAATGTTTTTTCTTGCAGACCAGCAGCTGGGGAAGAGACACATGCCTGGTCAAGTATACAGCTGGAGATCACAGGGTGTGATTTGTAGACTCAAAGCAAGGTTGAAGTCTTTAGTTGTTCCTATTCCACATGGCCCCATGCTTACCCTTTTCCCTGCTGTAGGTGCTCTAGAGTGACCCTTTCACACCCCTTGCTCATCCCCTGATAGCTGCATGTGAACAGACTTTGCCTCTCTCTTTAGACCTCACATGCATGTCAGTAATGGGTGATGCCCTAATTTTATTACCAGCTATGGCAATAGGTGGATGGGGGATGTGGTGCTTTGGTGCACTTTACAATATGGTGCTTCACAATAATATGCAGTGCTGTGCTGCTAAGGAAGGGCAGCTGTACAGCTCTGTGGTAGCACACCAACACTATACAGTAGCACTTACTTTTCCTCCCTGCAGTCACTGTCAGCTGTCCCTCACTACTAACGCCAACACACACTGACAAAACACTGATGAGGAAGCTGACTTTTATACTGTTAACAATGTTAACACATTATTGGCCACAGTATTGCACCTGTCCACAGTTCAGAGTACACCACAAGTCATTATGGGGACTCCGTTTTGGCGCTCTGGCAAATGTATTTGAGAATTATGTGTTTGGGCCTGTTTTGCTCACCAGCTTAATCTATGTAGACGGTTTTCATATGTTAACAATTTGAATTTTCCAAACAGATGTTTTGTAAGTAAAAGAAAAAGCCAAGTAAAAAAATAAATATTGCAAGGTAAGCTGCATACTAATGCAAAGGATACAGAATGCCAATGCATGTAAAGGGATGGAGTCATAAAAAAGTAAAAAAGAAAAAAAGATAAATGTTATCTCATTTTCACAGGGGAACTGTTAGATACTATTTGACTAACATTCAAGTTATGCTGTTGCTTTTGCTGTGTACTTCAATGTATGGTTATGACTACCAATAGTGAAATTCATACTATAATAAATCCAAGCTCCTGAGCTATTCATTTTAAACATACATAGCTATATAATAATGATGAATTGGTAAATTATATTTATAAATAATCATTTTGCCTCTGAGATTGCAATTTTATATTCCTTACTTGCTTTCAGAACGGTATAAGATTTATAATTTGAAATAAATGAATATAGGGGCTTTTTGTGAGGAAGCACATTTACAGAATTCTGATTGCAACAGTTTCTAGGAAGCTACAAATCATTCTTGAGCAATAATGTAATGCTAGTATGCATTCAAAGCTGTGGTTGCAGAGTGCTTAACTCACACAGTGATACAGGCATATACATGAACATTGTCTCTCTTTTATATATAAATATATCCATATAGCCCTGTACAAATGGATGTGACTGTCATATACCGAACATTGAAACAGATGCTTGCCTTCAAGCCACTTCTGTTTAGAAGGACTTCCACACATCATTATACTGCTTGGAAATTCATTACACAGCGAACCTACCAGACATCCTGCAAAGCTCTTATCTACCGGAAACATGGACCTTATTCTGAAGTTTTAAAGTAAGTATGTATATGAGACCGGTCTACCTGCGCAGATGATCTGATAGTAAAACTGTAAGTCCATAAGCACGAGAATGGGGATGGGGCAGTTATTTCGAATCCATGTATTTATGATTTGGTAGAATAAAGAAAGAGCAGGGTTACCACTTTTGCTGATCATACAAAACTATGATGAACTTAAAACTCAGTGGGACAGTTAAATATTACAGAAAGGTTTAACAAAATGAGAACACAGTCAGTAATATGGCAAATTAAATTGAATGCTGAAATGTATAAGGTTTGTAGCCTGAGTATAGTACTGCCTGCTGTACATTGTTTGGAATACAGTAAGTCAAAACTGAACTAAAGAAAGACTTGGGAAAACTGGTTAACAATGAGCCTCACAGAGCAACATAGAGCAGCAAAAGCACCCAAAATCTTGGGATATATTAAGAGAGAAACATAAAATGCCCGATGCTGATAAATCACTTGTAAGGCACCACATTGAAGAAAAAGGGCATATGAGTTTTGTACAAAGTTCAGGGGCACTTTAATTAAATAAAGAGATGGAAAATCTCAGTTATCTACTAATCTTACTTTCAAAGAAAAAATACTTTTTACGGGCAAATGAATTAACTTGTTTAAATATATATTCAAGCAAGTCTCTGAGGAAGTGACTGACCACAAAAAAAAAAAAAAAAAACACGCAGGTTACAGACATAGACAGTAGCTTTGATTGTGCCTGTGTAGTTAGCAAACCTATGATGAGGCTTCCCTGCCAAATGCAACACCCCAAGCTACTTTTGAATACAATATAGGAAATCCGTAAATGTAATAGTTTGTGCCTGCCACTGTATCAGAACCAATCCTCTAACTTGACACCCTCTAAATGATACAAAATATTCTGGGTTACCATGGTCTCTTCAGAAGGATGTTTTTAGACACCAATTAATTAACAAAGCCCACGATTTCGGTCATAGGGTAAAAGTTTATGTCCAGTCATGTTTTGGTTCCCACTCTTATCTCAAGTTCCCTCTCCATCCAAATTTTAAAAAACAGGTATGGTTTTAATGGGAAGTTCTTTGTGGTAAAGCTTATACTGGAGGGTATGATATGAATGTAATGTCTTCTCTTAGTGCATGTGATGTTATAGTGGAAATGTGATATTATAGTGGCAGTGGAGCAGAGTGTATGCAGAATATTCAGTATGGAGCATGACATTACAATCCCCTGAATGAAGATATTCTCTCCTCAATGTCCCTTAATATGTACCTTTAAACTTGCAGACCAAAGACCAGTATGTTCGCAGGTAGTAGCATCACCCTATATTTGATCCTGCAAATAGCACTAGAGCATCAGATCATTTGACCGGAGGAGCATAGAACATTAACACTTATTTCCTTATGTTCCTCAGCTCCATCTAGTGACCATAATGTGGTATTTTCATGATAATACACTCAAATCATTTTACCTCCACTCACACAGAATGAATGTGCATGAAATTTTGCAGGACAAATGGCTCTGTGGAGAGATTATGTCAGGCCTGAGGATCTGATGAAGGTCAATATATTATCTCAAACCTGGACATTTGTATTCTTAGCAGCGAACCTAAAAATAATATAATTTGTTGCACATATATAAAGCATTTGGGAAGCTTATTTTTAAGTACCTTTCAGGCAGGGCTGGCACTTAAAAAAAAACTTTTAGCAGGTCTTAGTTTCTAAACTTTAAGGATCAGTCCTCCCCAAAGTCATATTTCAGTTTATGGCAGAAGCTGAAGAATAAAAGGATTCTGGCAATTTATTATATTACTTGGATGATCTATTAGTGCAATGGGTTTACAGATCACATTCTATTGTATTTGTTGAAAGTTTACATTTATCTTTATGATATAGGAATGGCAACAGCAAATGAGTGGGAATGCCCGAAACACTCGGGTGGACAGCTACAGGGTTGGAAATTAAGGCAAGGGTGTCTAACTGTTCGGGCATCAAAAACTGGTTCTGGACAAGATCTACCTATAACTAAAATGATCACTTCTGGTTGGAGAGAAACTTTATTATACCATAGTTCTATAGAATGTTATGAATAGCTTTTTTTATGAGAAAAACAAATTGTATATTATAAATTCAGCCCAATAGGCCAGAGCCCTAAAGCTGAGCAGCTTTTTTTTTTAATGATAAATAGGTATAACAAACAAATAAATATTCATTAAATTTCCTCTGTACAGTATTTGCCAATTATTTTTTTTTAAGTAATACCAAATAAAGTGCACTGCAGTATTGACATTGTTAAATGACCCCATTTAAAACCACAGTGTCTTCATATTGTGAATCTCCAGCAGACTGAATACTGGTTAAGGGGACATGTGGAGTCATTATATTTTTTAATCAGGATGTGTATTCCCTTTGTAAATATTCTAAACAAATAAAAACATGTGCATGTTTTTATTATGTGTGCAGACGAGTAGATGCAGTAGTTGTGTTGCTTTACTTGAATAGGCTGTTCTTTCTGGAATGCATTGCCTAATGATGATAAGTTTTGTTGATCCTTGCAAGTAATTAGGCGTTCATCCTTCAGAAAAATTGGCGCTTCAAAAATTAGCTGCCCTTTTCCCCATTACCCAGGTAATTAGAATGTATTTGATTTTATTGCACTTACACTAGAAAACATATAATTAAAGTGAATGATACTGAGCGCTAGAGCTTAGTTAGTAGAAATACAATTATTTTAGTCATTCCCCTGATTACGGATGGTGACATTAATTACCACTGAATAAAGGCATCTGATAATTCCTCTTTCATTACAGTGCACCGTATGGTCAAATTAGTGGCAGAAAAGATTCCCTCAATTTCACCCGTGACTTGGCTATTTTTCAGATAGATTAGCTAATTGTTATGGCATATATACTCATGGCAGCAGTCTCTCCAATATTGAGCTATTTGACAAGCCAATGTAGCAAAACAGTGTTAACTCTGATAGAATGCATAGTGAATTGTTTAATAATCAGATGTAATTAAAATTCACCTCTCTCCCAGCTAAGGGAATGTTTTTTGACACCAGCTTGCATTACATAGCGGAAGTCTGTGCTGCCCAAAAGGCAGCAATGGAAGAGGCGGGTATAAGCCTGCTTTTATTAAAGCCTTATGAAACCACAAGCTCAATATTTGTGTATTGCACTCATAAGTCTTGGCTTTGAGATGTATGTGGGTACAGCTCCTACCTGAGTCCGATGACACCCTCAAAATCCTGTAATACAGTGTATTAGGCAAATGTAAATGATATACAAAATAATTCAGTGGTGGCTGCATGTTGAAAATAAGGGAAATGGTTAGGGCAAACAAAGAAACAAGTTCAATTATTACAAGTGGAATCACAGTATTGGTATAAGAATGCCAACGTGTAATATAACAGGTCATGTTTCCCTTGCCTAGCTAAGATAACTGTAATAAAAGTATGTTGGTGAGCTCCTGTTTTGGGGCCCCAAACTACTGCACAGTTCCAAATTCCATCCCAAAGCAACAAAGTAGCAACCATAGTACTGTCTTTTTAAGATACTACTCGCTGAAAGAAACAGGTATGTGATTTGCCTTGATGGAAGATCCTTTCTCAACTACTTTACTCGAGTCCGTCTTTAATATTGATTGGACCCTGGGCAAACATTTTCTTGCCCCCCCCCCTACCAGCCACGCCCCACGGCATATGGCAGAAGCAGAGCAACACTATGCGATGCCAATCGCATAGTAAACAGAATGGTGCTGCTAGGGGTGCTAAAAATCTATAGGTGTATGGCCAGCTTCACAGACAGTACTGTAAGAAAAATTGTTTAACTTTATCCTTTGCGTGTAACCGACAGTCTTTCCTTGACTTGTCAATGCACTCAATCACACTAGTTCCAGATGGGATGTACACATAGCTGAAAATATGGTAGTGGTGCAGCAAAGTAACGTGATTCTAGCTATCTGATAGACAGTGTGAGCTGGGGAATAGGTAGCAGGTGTACTTGCTCCCTGGGGTGAGCAGTCTTGAGAGGATGAGAGACCACACCAGTGACCTTTCTTCAAACAGTGGCGCTTTTATTAGTGCAGTACACAGGCTATATACAGTGCTGTACAGTGCTCAAGCTAAGTCTATTACAAAAAAAAACCCTAGATGTGTCCCGCCACACATTAGATAGTCCTGACTATCAACCTGCATGAACCTATTGTTTGTCAGGCCTCAGAAAACCACAATAACCAACCTCGTGCTCCAGCAGATTCAGACTGAGCACTGTATGTTTGCCTCACCTGTATTAAATTGCCACTGAGGCAAGGTGTAAAACCTGGAGCTTACTAGAGGTTCCCGATATGTGTAAGAGAGGAATCTGGGCGACACATAAACCCTGGACAGGACCTCTCCTGGCTCTCTACATGATGACCTGCTACAACAGTTACTGTAGCACTTGCTTCTGAAAACCATGTGGCACTTTAATTCAGCAGTCAGCTCTCCTCAGTCCATTTAGGAAGACAGAAATACAGGGAGAATTGGCTGCAGCTGCTCTGCTCTTGGTACTGAGCACCAGGAATCTGACCAGGAGAATCCAGCAGGATGTCTCTCTGATATCTCTCTTAGCTGCCTCCTTGCATAATGTTCTCTCACCAACCCTTTTCTTCCCAGAGTGTGTTAAAGAACATTCCTCCTTCTGATATCACACACCACAGGCTTGCACATGTGTCTTCATTTTCGGTAGCCATCCCATAGAGGTAAACTGCCTCTAGTGGCAGATAACACCCAGTGTGAAATGAGAAACAATATGCCACATAACAGACGCATATGTCTGCTTTGCAATATAAACAGTTCTGCTGTACATGAACACAGTGGGTAACATAGCAAATGTCTGTGAGGTGGCTACATTTAGTTTAACCTTATTCTTCTGTAAAACCACTCTACACTTTCCAAAATCAATTTATTGTAAAATTCAGGACTTTTCTGGCCAATATGTTTTGCTTTTTCTTATGCAGAATGTGATAGCTTATGTGGCC